AGACAAGGATATCCCCAGCGGATGCTACTCGTCTTGGGGGAGAATCAATCTTTGGAACTTCTGGGAGCTTGCCCCGTGCATAGGTAGATTTTTCTTCCATCACTTGAAACATCATATGTTTCCATACAACCGAGTTATTGGATCCGGAGAGGTCAAGCAGAGCAAGAGTTTTTTTAATCTTTGCAGGAACATCACTTCCTCCTTTAGTTGCGTTTGTAGAAGATCTTGCTCCTTTTGAGGATGAAGATCTGAAAATAGGAGTTGGTGCGGACGGCATTTAGAGTGCTTGTTGTCCTAACGAGCTTGCCTTACTCCTTGTATTTGGTCCAAAGCTTCCAAAGGTAACGTCGTGGATGCTTTCTCCATCAGCATAAAACCTAGAATTAGCAGTCTTGGTGGAAGTTGATTTGGAGTTAACCTTCTTTGAAGCCATGTTAATGCTCTTGAACTTTGGTGATTAGAAAGTTGAGATGAGAGGTAGAGATTGTCCCACTAGGCGTGCCAAAAGTGTTATAACCTGCAGTTTAGGCCCGTGCATTGAGGAGTATTATAACTTGTAGTTTAAGCTGTATTGAGGAGCATTATAACTTGCAGTTTAGGCTCGTGCATTGAGGAGCATTATAACTTGCAGTTTAGGCTCATGCGTTAAGGAGCATTATAACTTGCAGTTTAAGCTCGTGCGTTGAGGAGCATTATAACTTGCAGTTTAGGCTCGTGCGTTTAGGAGCATTATAACTTGTAGTTTAGGCTCGTGCGTTTAGGAGCATTATAACTTGCAGTTTAGGCTCATGTGTTAAGGATCATAGTGCCATGCATAGACTCTTCGGTTTCATTTTCGAATGAAAACTTGCCCCCATCCTCTCCTTCTTGTTCTTATTCTTCATCGTAATGCTCAAAGACAAGTAGCCCTTGGTCAGCACTTATGGCCATATTTAGCTCCATATCATGAGCACAAGTTGTTAGTTCTTTAAACGTTTTTGCTTTATGCCTTGTAAGATATAACAAAGACCACAATGCATGCCTTGAACGTAGATTTCAATACCTGAAGTTTCACTAGCCAATCTTTGTAGTTGAGGCTTAAGCTCCTCCAACGATTGATGAAGTCAATAACTAGATCATCCTTTCATTGATGTGAGTTTGTAAGTTTGATCATACTTATGATGCGTCTTGTGCTATAGAAACGATTGAAAAACTCCTGCTCTAACTGCTTCCATCTATCGATGGATCTAGATTTGAGATATGTGTACCAATCGAATGCATTACCTTTGAGAGATCGAACAAATTGTTCGACAAGATAATCATCGTACATTCCAGCATTGTTGCAAGTTTCAACAAAGTGTGCTATATGTTGTTTCAGATTTCCTTGTCGTCGAATTGTTGAAACTTAGGAGGTTGATAACCAATATGCATCTTCAACTTATCAATTTTTTACGTATACGGCTTTGCATATGTGAGAGACAATTTGGACAGTGACTCAGGATTATCTTTGATAGCCTCCATGATGAAGTCCTTTAATTTCTCAACGGGAATTAGACCTTCAGCGGAGACTTGAATCTCCTTGGTTATCGTTGCTTGCTTTTCGGAGGAGTCACATTTCTCTTGTAACCTTTGAAGATTCAAAGGTGTTTGTATGGATTCTCCTTCTACTATGCTATCTAACTTATTTGTTTAACTTAGAAAGTTTAGCATCTTGATCTTGCATGCGCTTTGACAAGCCTTCAACTGCTTTCGTCAAATTTGCGAGCTGTTCTTCTACGATAGAAACTTCAATAACCATTACTTGCATGATGTCCGTAGAGGATGAAGAATGAAATAGATCATTATTGAGATAGAGCTTGGAGTCGCATTAATGGAGACTAAAGTAGATCCAGTGCTCAAGTTATCATCATAAGCTTGCATGAAAGGTTTCTCAGACTTCGATAAACTAAGTTGGGCAAGAACTTTTTCGATCCTTTTGACGACGTCGATCCCTTGTTGGGTCGTACTTGTAGAGGATCTTGCTTCTTTTGAAGATAAATATCCGAATATAGGGTTGACGCGGATGACACTTGGAGTGCTTGTTGTCCAAAGAGCTTGCTTTGCTCATTGTAACTGGCCCAAAGCTTCCAAAGATAACATCAAAGATGCATTCCGCATCAGCATAGAATTTGGAATTAGCAGCCTCACTGGAAGTTGATCTGGAGTTAATTTTCTGTGAAGCCATTTCGATATTCTTGAACTTTGGTGATTTAAAAGTTGAGATGAAAGGTAGAGATTTTCCCACTAGGCGTGCCAGAATTTGGAGACAATAAATTGGCATCGAGAAAATAAAGTCAAGACCGAAAATATTGCAACAATCATGGTATTTGATTTTAAATATTTGAGTGTTATAATCTATATGGATCCCCTGATTCTACTTTTCCACTTAAATTCAAGGGCCTTGAATTTGAATTTAATTTATTCGTCATGAATGCTTTGATTGTTGCCACGAATTATATCATGAACAAGTAGCCTTTATCTTGAAAATTTTGTATTTAATTTGACTTTTCTCTTGATCTTGAATACTTGAAATATGTGTTGAAGAGCTTGAATGCATGAACACTTGCAGTTTGCAGAGAATTGTGGCCTTTGATCCACGAGCTCCCTTGTGTCTTCTTGTTATAACTTCTTGTCCCTTTTCTGGGTTATGAAGACCCCTATTTATAGTTGTGGGAGGGAAGAGCTATGATAAGGACAAACTCTTTCCGACCAATCAAATTGAAATGTGATATGGCCGCATTTGATTGGTCAAAATATGTCACTTGCACACGTGGCGCGGTTTCATTGGCCTTTTGATTTAGCTTGTATGACCTGTTATTTTGACATGTGGCATGATCCTATTCGCTCTTCTGTTTGACTTGGTGTGCCACATCATTTGACACGTGGCACCAAACTGAGCCTCTAGGAAGAAAACATTTTGGACTTAATGAAGTGGGCCATAATTTGTAGCCAACTAAATGGGCTAGCCCAATAGATTAAGGCTTATTTATTTAATCCATATATGTGCGACTTATATAATTGATCCAATTATATTAGCCCATAATATTTATTTGGACTAGTATATTTAAAATATGGATTTTTTCATTCCTATACACTATTGGAAACTTTATTACCCTAAATATTCATGTTTAGTAAATTACCCTACCTACACAAGTTTTGTTTACAAAATATATACATTCGACCTTAAAAGGCTCCTAATCCATTATTAGTGCCTTCAATTAAGGGATTTAGTTACACCATTTAACTATGTCCTTGGGACTATGTCCTTCTTGTGGCAGTGACTTCGTCACTCCTCTTGGCATGCCTGTTGATCTAGATCTTTAGCCATCTTGACTTTGGATTTGTAGTTCGTCTTAAATTATGGAACTTGTCTGTGTTAAGTGCGAACTAGGAAGCCATTTTTAATATGGTTCTTGATTCTCTTGACTATTGGGTTTTGACCCTACTTGATTTGGGGCTTCGGTCCATCTTGATATTTGATTATGCTTAGTGTGATGGCATGATGTACATATTGGGCGAAAAATGGATATTTGGTAAACTCTCTTGGATTGATAGTATACGCTTTCTCGACTCTTGAACATTGTTATTGATATTTGGAAACACTTCAAAGTTTAATATTGATATATTTGTTCACTTATTTTAAATTATGTTAAATTGAGCTAACTATGGCAGAAAAGGGGAATTGGAGAATTTAATGACTCCAAGTCCAATGTTTATACGCCACTAAAGTTTATGCTTAGCGACAGTTGTTTTCTATCATAGGTAATGTACATGATGAAATCTGAACACAGTAATTATGAAGTAGTCTTTTGGGAGCACTTATGGAGATCACATTTGCATATGCACCTTGATTTTGCATAGTTTTAGGACATGTACATGATATATATATATGTCACATTTATGTATGTTATTTGGAGGCTTGTTGGATTTTAAGACCAAAATCTTGTAACTTAAATTTGGTAACTTGTTTTACTGTTTTAGTGTATGTTAATAACTCAAGTCTTGTAATATGCTGAATTTACACTTTATCTTGTAAATATGTACAAAGAAGAAAACTAGTTTCCTTTTTATATACCCGATCGTTTGAAATTTATGTACAATACAAACTTGCAGTGATGTTGAATGAAAGTATAAATTTGTTAGGAAGTTACTTTAGTCTGTTGATTGTTCAAGAAGGGTTATATCACCTTATGTTGATATTTTGACATTGTATTTTATTTAAAATAAAATTATGATGTGTATTTCAAAAAAAAATATTGCACTTTGAACCTTTTCGCATGGGTCTATTTCCGCTAATAAATTATTCTGAATATTTTTAACTAATATCTTTTTAATATTTCATAAGTAGTAAATTAGATTTGTTTCCTAATCAGCACCCTCCCAAAGGGGTTGCTACACAATATTTCAGAATTAACCTGCGGAGAGCTCGAAACTTAAAAGTCCTCAACAATGAGCTCTACTTTAGGTATCAAAAAGGTTGACATGCGATTATAAAATAGAGAATTTTTCATAAAGCACCATCTTTTAAGTCTAATTAGCCATTTATAGATACCTTTTGTTATATTACGTGTTATAGATATCTTTTATGTTTTTATACAATGTATTTCATGTATTTGAGATGTTGTATTCATTAATACAACCAAAAAAATAGGCGTAAAAACAGGAATTCCAGCTAAATCTAATATGTATTTAACTGTATTTAAGCGGCTTTAACGTGAAATACAATAACGTATCTGCGCAGAATCTGGAAGGTTAAACTTGTTAAAAATGGAAGGAAATCAAATCACATGATATTCTCCTAAATTAACTCAACGAACTAAAACTAGTACACATTAATCTGTATTCTGCTCAAAGAGAGCATCTCAGAAACGTGAATACAGCGAAAAAACAGAGCAACATCTTATCGAACTTCTTCCATTCTCTTCTCTTTTTTTCGATTGATACAAATTATATACAAAATAAGGTATTCATCCTCTATACATATGGCAAGTTTAACAATTTTGTTGCGTCATTCTGGCAAGTGGAACGATGAGGGCAATTACATCGATTTTTCAATTGAGGGAATACTGATAAAGGAGTATGCCTCCTTTAATGATCTGGTTGTTTCAATTTCAAATCAACTGGGTATCGATTTGAGCTCCAAGACCATTAAAATACAATACAAAGTAGAAGGAAATTGCACACTAATGGAAATACACAATGAAATGGGTTACAAAGTTTATGTAGAATTGAAAAAAGAGAATAGAGAATTTGGGATGTATCCTTTGTGAATAACAACTATCAAAAAAGATCTTATATCCGGAGGTAGTTTAAATCAAGGCGACATTGTGCAAATAGACGAAGGAGTTCAAAGGTACAATTCTGATACAGATGGTACACTAGCTCTAGAATTTTGTCAATTCAGGAGAAGCGATTGGAGTGTTCGAACTCCACAAGGATTTGATAATTTCAAAAACTAATCAAAAGGAGGTTATGGCTGGACAAGTTTATAAGGATAAGGCTACATTGAAAGAGGTAATGGAGAATTATGCTATAGCTCAAAGGTTTCAATTCCGGGTTGATAGGTCTAATGTTGTCGGGTTTGCATGTATTTAAATTTTTTTCCGTTGTATTTTCGATTATTTGTTCGAGCTGTAAGTTTAATGTCATTGTATTTATACGTATTTGTATATTTCATCTAGATGATCACAGATGAAGTAAACATATGTTTGTTTAGGGCATTTAAATACATGTATTCATATGTATTTTACTGGTATAAATACACAACAGTGGCTCTAATTATTTTCTTATTATGTCTACTGTGGTATTAAGTGTATGCATATACAAACAAGTGTATTCAGTTGTATTCATTGTATTCAAACGCATATAACTATAATGGAATTCAGTAGTATAAAAATTTATATATATAGATGTCAGGATGTATCTATGTCAGATTATATTTGTCTGTATATGAGCTGCATTTTTTGTAAACACTTATGCTAATCAAATGTAAAATAATTAATTCTTTGTAGCTATGCATTATTATGCATTTCAAAAGATTGTGAATGGAGGTTTAAGGCTTCAAGTATTAACAAATCAGAACTATTCAAAGTGAGAGAATTCAATGATAACCATACATGTCCGCTGAAGGACAAGGTGTATGAGCAGCGGCAGGCTAGTAGCAGCCTTATAGGTGGTATGATAAGGCCTAAGCTTACAAACCATAAGAGGAAATACACTCCAAGGGATATTATTGATGATGTGAAATCAGATTTAGGTGTAAATGTTAGCTACATGTTGGCGTGGAGGGCTAAAGAAAAAGCAATAAATTTTCTGAGAGGTGAACCGGTTGATTCATACAAAAAATTACCAGGATACTTATATACAATGGATATGACATATCCAGGTTCCCACATAAGAATAGTAAAATCGCCAAAAAATGAATTCATGTACGTGTATATATCCTTGTATGTCTTTATAAGGGGGTTTGATCATTGTAGACCCATTGTTGTTGTGGATAGTAGTCACCTAAAATCTTACTACACCGGGACATTCGTTTCGACAAGCACGTTGGATGGTGCAGGTGAGTATCTGAATTATAATACAATCTATTAATATTTTTAAATATTGAAATACATTTTTAAAAAATATTATACTCAATTGTATTTATAGGTCATATATTGCCACTAGCATATGGTGTTATTGGTTCAGAGAACGATGTTGCTTGGACGTGGTTCTTTGAGCAATTCAAGATAGCATACGGTGAAAGGGAAAACATGTGCATCGTTTCAGATAGAAATGAGAGTATCATTAAATCTATATCGAGAGTGTATCCAGATGTACCGCATTTTGCTTGTATAAACGTATATAAGAAATTCAAAAAGAGCCATGCCAAGTTGAGCGAGATATACTTCTCTATGGCAAAAGCATACACACAAGCTGAATTTGACAATCTGATGGAGAAGGTGGAGAAGGTAGATATTATGGTGAAAGAATACTTAGAGTTAGCTGGTTACGAAAAGTGGACTAGGTTGTATGACCTGTTAACAGGGGATGGACAATGACGTCAAATATTGCTGAGTCAATCAATGTCGCACTAGTTTCAACAAGGGAATTGCCAATATACGACTTCCTCGAAGAAGTTAGGAAGATGTTTGGACGTTGGAATTGTAGTAACCGCAAAGAAGCTACACAGACATACACGACGCTTGGAAAAAAATACCAGGAGATGCTGACTTTGAATGAGGAAATGTCTACACGTATGACTGTAAGTTATATTTTAACGTCATTGTTGTATATAGCTTAATTGTTACTGAATTAATGGCATGAATACAACTGAATACAATGATTTTTTAAGTAGAACTACCATTAATACATATGAATACAACTACATTCAAACTCATAAAAGATATATTTTTTCGTAGATCTGATATGAATAGAACTGAATATAACTAAAAGCATGCTGCAAAAACTATTGGAATACATCATAATATAACTAACAAAGCTGTATTATATGTAATTTTAATATGTATTGTCAATACGTATGATTCTAATGCTTTTGTTAGCATCCTGTTGCCTAAAGTACAGCAAATTAAAACAGTTGATTAATTGAATACAACTGAATACAACTGAATACAGCTGAATACATCTTGAATACAAATGCAATTGAATATATCTGACTACAACTGATTAAAACAGTTGAATTTAATTGAAATTAGCTGAATACAGCTGAATAAAGATGTTGAATAAAGCTGAATATAACAATTGAATACAACTAACTATAGCTGATTAATACAGTTCAATTCAAATGCTTCTAAAGTATGATTCTAATACTTTTGTTAGCATCCTGTTGCCTAAAGTACAACAGAATTCTAATAAGTTCTGCACTAATAGCAGTTGGTATTGTGCTGGTCTAATATTTGATGTATTCATCTATATGCAAAAATTTCAGTTGTATGTAACTTATTAATGCAGCATTATACATTTGGTAATTCAGATATATTTGTTCAAAACTTATATTTCTATTTTTAAATGTAGGTGGTACCATTAACTGAATACTTATATACAGTTAACGATGGTGGGAGGAATTACACGGCCTGCCTGTTAGAGAGAAAATATGTTTGTGGGAGGTTCCAAGTTGATGAATTGCCATGCCCACATGCTTGGGCTGTATTGAAGAGCAAGTTTCTAATGCCAGAAGAATATTGCTCTAACTATTACAAACCAAATACAATTGTAATGACATATGATTTGCCAGTGTACCCGCTACCGGACAGAAATGACTGGAATATACCAGAACATGTTGCAGAGGAGGTTGTACTACCACCCAAATGGAAAATACCTCCTGGAAGGCCAAAGAAGAAGCGCAATAAAATATTAAGTGAATTGATGCAGCCAAAAAATTAACATTCATGTAGCATATGTGGGCAGGGAGGACATAACAAGCGAACGTGTAGAAATGCTTCACGTAATAAATAGTTAACACTCTGACATGTATTAGTGCTTCAACGATTTGTCAATACTTATGTTAACATTGTCAAGTAATAAATTATCATTGTCAAGTAATATATTCTGAAATGACTTTCGTGAATAGTTTCTGAATACATATAGTTGAAATATTTTTATACAGATAAATACATATGCACTATACAATTGAGTATAACCCAGTATGGATGAATACTAAAAAATACAACTAGATACAGCTGAAATATTTTTATGAATAATACAGTTGAGTAGCATTGAATGTAAATGAATACATCAAAATATAATTGAATACAGCTGAATAATACACTTAAATACAACTAACTAATGCTAAATAAAACAAGTTGAATACAACCGAGTACATCTGAATACAACTGATTACGTAAAACCTGTTTAATACATCTGAAATTGTGTTCTTTAATATGTGTTATCTGAACTTGGAAGATACATCTAAATGGATGCTGCTGAATACAACTGAACTTGACAGTTAAATACAACTGAATACAACTGAATCCAGAAAAAAATACATCTGAATTCTTTTATATAACCTACCATCAGCATACATAAAGTTTCTGACTTTGACATTAACATGTTCATTAACTAAAACGTGTTCAAGCAAAGTTGCTTGGTATTAACACATACGTGAATCCTGTAAGATAAATATGTATCCAAACTGAAGAATAAGCATGAATACTTATGAACAAATCAGTGAAACAATGATTGAAAAGTTGCAATTGTCATACACGAACACTGTTGATAAAGTGATAAGTTTTTCAAACTAAATACCATTTACACCAAAAACTACTCAAAATAGTATTCATCTTGAAACTACACTCCAAAACTACAATAACCTAAAGCTACTCTAACACTATCTGCATCCTTGAATCTGACTCCGTGATTTGCCTAGCAATCTTTGAAGGTGCTTCATTCTCGCTTATGGCATCAACGTCTATCTTCCGCATAGCATAGTCCCAGAGGAGAGCACCATATCTTTGACGAAGTAGAGAGGAATCAAATGTTATTTGTGGAATCTCTCCAAGAGTGCTCAGAAACTCTGCGTATGCTGCAACATGCACCCCACAATCCCTAAAAAATAATTGATTGAAACAATTAAAAATAATGCATACAATTAGATTTGTATATAACATACAATAATGATGCTTGAATACTTACATGCTACCAGCTTTCTGTTGAGGCAGATCTGAAATGAAAAAAACTTCAAAGGGATCATTATGTGACTTGTCAGTGTATGCTGAGTAAGTAGACCAATCTATGCCTTGACTATCTCTGTAAAAGCCACTGATTGATAGATATAGAGGTACAAGCTTAGCTAGCTTATCAATCTCAGAAACTACATAAATATCATGACCTGCAGATCTGTACGAGTCATACACTTTGATACATCTCTCCTTGAATGAGATAACAACCAATACCCAGTGTAGTTTGTCCTTCAAGTTGACTGGTATCATGACATTATCCACAGTATACCAAGGTACATTTGCATGCAATCTGTAGCCTCTTATGTACTCAAGACATTATCCACAGTATACCAAGGTACATTTGAATACATCTGACTACAGCTGATTAAAACAGTTGAATTTAATTGAAATTAGTTGAATACAGCTGAATAAAGATGTTGAATAAAGCTGAATATAACAATTGAATACAGCTAACTATAGCTGATTAATACAGTTCAATTCAACTAACTATAACTGAATACATCTGAATACACCAAAATACAGCTGAATACAAATGAATGCAGAAGATGAATAAAGGTGAATATAGCAATTGAATTCAGCTGACTATAGCTGATTAATACAGTTCAATTAAACTGACTATAGCTTGAATACAGTTGAATACATCTTAATACAGCTGAATGCAAATGAATAATACAGCTGAATATAGCTGAATAAAACATCATGTTGTTATTCAAAGAAAATTAGTCAGTTAAGGGAAAAAAACTTACCNTTACGTTGTCATCCCATAGCTTCCCGTCAAACGATAGAAGGTAAAACCAATTTTTTGAATTAACTTGATCAACTCCAAAATCCAATGGTATATGAAGTGTTGACTTGTTCTTCTTGTAATGGTCTTCCAAATTACTTCTACAAGTATGGTATAAAAAATATTATATACATTTTTAAAAATATAAAAACTTAATACACATACCAGGGGAAAACTCACCTCTGATCATGTCTAGCGAGAAGACCATCACAAACCCATTTGTCATATTCCTGAATGATTAACGTAGGATGTGGCCCCGTTATTGAATCATCCTCAAAGGGGTGTCTTTTTTTCAAAAATGGGGGTCAACTTTACTGAAGTACTTGTTGTTCATTGAATTCGTAATTAGAGACTTTTAAATTTAAAATCCTTGAGGAAAGCTGAATCTTTACTTTACAAAAATACTAACATGCGGAGTCAAAGTTAGACTCATAAAGCGAAGAGTACCATCTACTTGGTCGCCGATTCCTATGAGATGGTATTGGGGTTAATTCAGCTTTTTTTGCATTGTTGTGGATCACAATTCCAGTTTCTGGAATTTGACTGGGAAGAAACTTGTCGTCCAGCTCAAATTGAGATACATAGAATTCTGTAGATACACCCTCTTGACCAGTAGATGGTATGTTGGACGGCACCTCTGATGTAGTTTTTCCCTCTCCTCTATACTCCAAACATTGATCATTAAGAACTTGTTTCTGTTAGTTGTATGTATCATTGTTAGTGTATTAACTTAATGTTACAATACAGTTAAATACATATAAGTGTAGTAAGAAAATAGATTTTGGTAATGGAAATGGGAGTTTGAAATACATCACACATATTCAAGAAATACAAATCAGAATACATCAAAATACATCAAAATACAGCTGAATATGTTTAAATACAATAGTTAATTCCATTTACATATTAAGGTTAACACATATATGAATACAACTAAATACATGTATTGGCCGATGCATTTATCAGTTTAGTGAGGCAGTTAAAGGCTGGTCGAATACATACAACATTTATAAATACAATTATTTAATTATAACAGCAAGCAGGAGATATAAACAAATGCTCAATATGTTAAGAATGGTATACCTCAACATTATCTCCGACATCTGTGTCAATGCCATCATCACGTCTCCCTATGGGTTCCTTTCTCTGGTGTAAACTTTCAGTTTGCTGATTTTGTTGAAGATGGTCAGAAAGATTCTTGAAGTTATCATTGATCAATGTTCTTGGAGACTTGAACTCTCCCACAACCTTAACAATACAAAAATAATTATAAGATTACGCCAAAAATATATGAATGTTATTCATTAAACTGTAATGTTTAATTTGTGGTTAAATACTCACGTATTCTTTGAATGAATTTAGGTCTTTCCTCAAAGAAGATACTTCGTCATTTTGGTGTCATGCAAAACTTTATGTACAAATTCGGATACACAAACAAGAGGAATCTTGGGTTGATATTCTGTTTCGTTAGGATGCCTTTCGTGTTCCTTGCACTTTTTATGGGGCGGTGATGAAGATGGACCAACACTTGCAACATGTTTCTTCTTACATTGAAGCTCGGGTGTAGGAGAAAAGTCAT